CTCTTCTGACTTCCACAGGTGCCAGCGTGCACATGCACACACACACATACACACAAATTAAAATAAATTTAAAAATAAAGATACAAACAGTCTTTTGAGATTCATTAGGATATGTTCATGCTTTTTTAAAAATGCCTGTTAATTCATATATATTAATCAATGATCAACCAGCTTGGGACTTTTTCTAAGTGTTGATAATGGCTTTCTCACTGATGACCCGTACTTCTCAGAAACATTACCTCTCATACCATCTGCACATAAAAATGATTTATCTTGTCTGTTTGTATGTCTCTGTATCAGGGAGAACTGGCTAAAACCTCCACTGTAACTCTATGAGATAGACGAGGGCCACATGCTGAGTTCTAATTCATGAAGAGTCACAGGGCTTCCTCCATTCTGACTGCAGTTCTGTGCTGTGTAGGTTCCCAGTCAACAGGCGGCGAAACGAAAGACGGTGTTTCTGCGACCTCTTCTGGCGAAAGGTTTGTCCTGGGGGAATGAGATGTGCATTGCAGGTATGGTACGCCACCTTGTGGAAGTAAGAGTGTAGTGCACCTCAGCGGCGTCTTTTTCCATAGTTACCCTGGTCTTTCCAAAACCGGCAGCCAGGGTGGACATGGGTTACCCTCAACACAAACACAGTTCTTCTCTCTCCACCTCAGTGGGAAGTATCTGGGGAAGAGGAAATCCAGAGCTAGCCAGGCAAGAAGAATGCACTCCCTCTCCAGCGAGAGCCACACTCACCTCTCCCCTTGACGAAAGTCCCATGACACGGCTACAGAACCCCAGGGTGCCAATGTCATTGGAGAACTCAGGCGGGCCAGTGTCTTCTGTCTAATCTGCCTTCGTTAGGGTTACTGTTGCCGTGAAGAAACATAGCCAAAGCAAATTGGAGAGGAAAGGGTTTATTTGGCTCACATCTACATCACTGTTCGTTTGAAGGTGGTCGGGACAGGAACTGGAGCAGGGCGGGAACCTGGAGGCAGGAACTGATGCACCGGCCATGAAGGGGCGCTGCTTACTGCGTTGTTCCTCATGGTTCCTCATGGCTTGCTCAACCTGCTTTCTTATAGAGCCCAGGACCACCAGCCTAGGGGTTACCCCCTTCCACAATGGGGCCAGGCCTTCTCTGATCAATCACTAATTAAGAAAACGACCTACCAGCTTGTCTGCTTACAGCCTGATCTTCTGGAGGTATTTTCTCCGTGGAGTTCCCTCCTCTCGGATGGCTATAACTTAGGTCAAGTTGACATAAAACTAGCCAGCACATAGTCCAATGGGACATTGGCCCCCAAATGCCCAGTTAAAAGTTCTCTCATCGGATAGCATGATGAAATTAAATCATCATCCTGATTCCCATGAAGGAATGACATGTGTTGTAATCAGTGGTTGTGGACACCAAGAAACACTCTACCTGGCATGACAGTGCACATCTCTAGTCCCAGCCCTTGAGGAGGAGGGCAGGGCAACCAGATCTTTGGGAGACAGAGGCCAGCCCTGGTTTACATAAAGAGGTCCAGGCCAGCCATAGTAAGATTCCATCTTCTAAACAGAAACACAAACAGAAACAAGCTCCCTCTGTCCCGGAGAGTCTTCTTCAGTAAAGTGGCACCACAGGCGAGTTTGTCACGCAGACATCATGAAGAGCTCTGGGTGCAGAGTGTAAGGCCGAACTTCATCATGCCAAGAGAAGATTTTTTTTTTTTTTTTTTTTTTTTTTTTGGTTTTTGGAGACAGGGTTTCTCTGTGGTTTTTGGAGCCTGTCCTGGAACTAGCTCTGTAGACCAGGCTGGTCTCGAACTCACAGAGATCCGCCTGCCTCTGCCTCCCAAGTGCTGGGATTAAAGGCGTGCACCACCACCGCCCGGCTTCAAGAGAAGATTCTTAACGAATTCGGAAGCCTAGCAACAACATGCTTCAGACAGAGCCAAAGAACATTCCCAGAAATCAGTTATAACCTACTTTAACGGGAATTGGCTAAAGTACTAATACAAAAGTGTCAAGGCCACAAACTGATGGTTTTAGATGCAGCACTCTGTGGGCCACATTAATAGAATTTATAATAATATGAGGAGGAATAAGAAAATTATAAACCGGGCGATGGTGACGCACACCTTTAATCCCAGCACTCGGGAGGCAGAGGCAGGCGGATCTCTGTGAGTTCGAGACCAGCCTGGTCTATAAGAGCTAGTTCCAGGACAGGCTCCAAAGCCACAGAGAAACCCTGTCTCGAAAAAAAAAAAATTATAAAATTGCCCCATTCTGCTAAGAAACAACTGTATACATCTACCCCAATATCTTCCTATATAAAGACATTAACATGTTCCCATTATTGACAGCATGGTTACATGTGTCTTAAGACACCAACAGTACATGGCCTCTGTCTCCCAAAGATCTGCTTGCCCCTGCCCTCCCCCTCAAGGGCTGGAACTAGAGATGTGCACTGCCATGCCAGGTAGAGTGTTTCTTGGTGTCCACAAGCACAAATGAGGCAGCTCTTACTAGCTGCTCACAGCACATGTCATTCCTTCATGGGAATCAGGATGATGATTTAACTTCATCGTCACATCTGAGGAGAGAACTACATCATGGATTCATCAGGCCACAAACAGACACCAGCCTCCTGAAGCCTTTCTCCCAAATCAAGGACGCACACCACCACAGAAGAAGGAAAAACAGACTCCAGTCTAGTTGGTTTTATGGTTATTTATACAGGAAGAGTAAGTCCTCTTAGGTCAGGGTGAATGACGGCAAACAGTTTCCCAACAAGCAATTCTTATTTCGTAAATGAGGGCATTTCTGTGGCGTCAGGCTGTGAGTACTTCTTATTGGCTGCATAATTCTGCATAATTCTGCCATTCTGTGGCTCTGGTTGGGTAAACTCCGAGTTTTCTGTTGAGGGAATGATTTTTGGATCTTGGTTGGAACTGGGATCTATATCTACCCTTTCTCTCTCTCTCTCTCTCTCTCTCTCTCTCTCTCTCTTTCTTAAAGCAACTGATGGCATTTAACAAAAAGGATGGACAGCAGGTGACACACCAGTCTCCTATGTGTCTCCTCATTTCCTCAGGACAAATGCATGATGATCCGTGTTTTGGAAGAGGATGTCCAAACACCTCCTTTGGTTTTCCACCATTTCATCTAAGATTTCTTCAATATCTGTTAATTTCTGCTTTTATCTTTATTACTTCTTGCTATCTAGTGGTTTGGATCTCTCTGTGTAGTCCTCACTGATTTAGAATTCACTGGGTAATCCTGGCTGGCCTCAACACTAACCATCGTGATGGTCTCTGAGTCTCCTAACAGCGAACAGAACGCTAACCATTGTGATGGTCTCTGAGTCTCCTAACAGCGAACAGAACGCTAACCATTGTGATGGTCTCTGAGTCTCCTAACAGTGAACAGAACGCTAACCATTGTGATGGTCTCTGAGTTTTCCAGGCAAATTGTACATGTGAGTCTTCCATGTTGGGCTGCGGTCGTCATTAGGTTGGAGGTATCAAATTGTTTTCCGGGGAATGTAGAATGGCTGAAACCGGCTGATACATTGGTCACCAAGTCTGAATGATGGTCATCGGTGTCATGGTGTGTTAGTCGTCCTGGCAATCAGGAAAGTGTAGCAGATCACAGAGCTCTGGGGTCAGACAGGGGTTTGGTGTTGTGAGCTCCTGCTTACTCGATTACTTGAGCGATTAACTTTGTCTTCTGGAAGTTAATCCTTAAACCCCCCCCCCCAAATCCTGCTTTTGCGAGACACCTGCTGCTGTCTCTGATCACCCAGAGGCAGCACTGCATCCCCCACTCCCCACCCCCCACCCCTCACCCAGGCAGCATGGCATCATCCTCCCCCTCCCTCCAGTATAATAAAATCTCCTTCATGCTGAGAATCTGGTGTCTGGAGTGTGTTCTGTGCCAACCCCGAGCCCCTTCAGTGTGCCTGTTCTTCTCTTGAAAACGTTGCCTTGGTTGAACTTCTGAAAAATCCAGCTGCTAAGCTGTGAGACATGAGTGTTCAAGAGGTCATTATTTCCTAATTAGAAATTAATTTATCAAGGCAGGCGAAGAATCAAAAGTGCATTTGTGTTTTGGGGATGGGGTTGGAAAGAGATACTTCACTCTCTCTAAATTTGCATTTGCCTCCTTTGGACTTTGGCCATATGGATTTGATGCCCATTCAAAATGCCCTGGACAATTTAAAGGCTCTGCAGAATGCTCGTATTATGATATTTCTATGCTACACACAGTCAGGAAGGCCGACCACTTTCTTTTCCAGGGTTACCCACTGAAAAGCCTTACTTCCCATTCATTGTCTTAATCCTGCTTTAAAACGCTGCAGTTTCTATACTATGTTTCAAATAGAATTAGAATAGTTTTAAGAGATCGGGCCTGTTAAATTTAATTCCTTCTAAATGTGTGTTCCGTTCAGTCAGCATTTTTTTTATCTTTGTGTGTGTGTGTGAGTGTGTGTGTGTGTGAGAGAGTGTGAGTGTGTATGTGTGTGTGTTCCTATATTCATTTCTTAAATCTTCCTGCTGCTTCTTTCTGTTTCTTCTGTGCTTGGCATTCTGTGTGGTCATTTTCACTAGACTCTAAGTCAGGTGTGTAGGCACTTTTAACTACGCTCTCTGCACACCTGCCTCATGACAATAATGGGAATGTTTTCTGGAAACGTGGAAAGTAAGTGGGGTTTAGACTGTTGAAGGGGGCTGCTTGTTGGTTCCCGGCTGCTCAGTCCCAAAATAACCACATTGAAACTGTAGTAATTAAATCAGTTCTTGGCCCATTAACTCTTGGACGTTTGGTGAGCCTCCTGAGTACTGGTATTACAAGAATGTGCCACTGTGCACGGGATATTTTATAGTGCTATTCTTTATAAATTTTATTTAATTTTCTTTTATATGCGTTAGTGTTTTGTCTGAATTCATGCCTATGTGAGGGTGTCGAATCCCTTGGTGCCATAGTTTGACAGTTGTGAACCGCCATGTGGTTGCTGGGAATTGAACCGGAGTCCTCTGGAAGAGCAGCCAGCACTCTTAACCACTGAGCCATTTCTCCCGCATTTTGGAAAATCGCAGGGGTCAACACATCCAGAGTGCAATGGATAAGCCTAGCCGTGGGAAAACCTCCTTTGTGATCATGGTGTCTCCCCTGCCAAATAATATGCTATTTTTAAAATATGTGTGTAATACGTAAATTTTAGGCAAAGAGAAGCCTTTTTTTTTCTATTGTACAGCTTGTTTTTTGCATTGATCACCACTAGGTGGCAGTCATGCCTTCCTAGGCAATAAGAGGCTTGAAGACGGTTGGGAAAACAGGAGCTCAAAGAACTTGAGGTCAAATGGTTAAGCTTACTGGCTGAGGCTAAAGAATGTGAATTATCAAACCAGCTGAATGACGAGACTAAAATAAAAGGGAGGACATGATTACTCCGAAGGGGTGAAAGTGAAGGTTTATTATAGATACGAGGAAGAAAACAGACAGAGGCAGAGGAATCTGGAAGAGTTCACAGTGAACAGGACTGGCTAACTGAGCCGGACCATGCCAGGAGACAGGGAGCGGGAAAGGGAGAGAGGGAACCAGGAGCAGCAGCCAAGACGGTCAGAGAGCAAAAAGGCCGAGTAGCCAAAATGTTTTTGTTATATAGGGAAGAGCATCTGAGGGGAGGGCAACCCAGCCCCTGGGCAGGGGAAGTTTAGGGTAGAGGACAGGGAATGCCATCCAGGAGGACTCTGAAACAGGCAGGGGCTGAGAACAGCACAAATGGGCTTATGTCTTCCCCATTTGGTCCTCCCTGAGTCCTAGGGAAGTTAGATAAGCTATTCTTAATGTTCTGGAGCATATAGTACCTGTCTGTCTCACTTCTGATTGGCTCCCTGCAGAGTACAGTCTGTGGTTTTCCTGGTTGTTGTAACGGTGAGGCCTGGTCCAAGTGTGGTCAGCCTGCAGCCTGTCATGGCCTCACTGATGATAAGTTAGGCCTCTTCACAGACCACGTCTGGCCACCAAAGGCCAACACTGTCCTATGTGGTAGCTGAAGATTTAATGTTGTCCCATATGACAGCAAAAGTCCTACAACCACTGACCCCAATGGGGCCATCAAGACCACCCGAGTCTAAGGCAACCATGTAGGTAAAGGGTCTCTGTTGATTTAACTGATACACAGGCCAGTCAGAGTATGGTTCCTGCCACAATTTAGCCTTTTCAGTTCTTTGGTTGGGTTGATGGCTAACTATAGCTTCATCAATGCAGCAACTGTCACACATTTAAAAAAAAAAAAAAGGCCTTACTTTCCTAGAGCTTTTAGGTCACTTGATAAAAAAGGAAAACTCTCAGACAGCTTTGCCTTACTACCAGGCTCCATATTAAAGGCAAAGAGGTTTCAGATATAACTTTTACTATTTAAGGAATTTATTTTGCAAATACTGTTAAAACAATGGCATTGAAGCAGGACATGATGGCACATGCCCTTAATCTCAGCACTTGGGAGCCAGAAGCAGACGGATCTCTATGAGTTCGAGGCCAGTTTGGTCTACAGAGTGAGTTCCAGGACTTTGTTACACAGAGAAAAACCTGTCTCAGAAAATAAATAAATAAATAAATAACCTACTCCTCCCTCCCACAAAACACAAACAAAAAGCAAAACAATGGGCCGGGCGATGGTGGTGCATGCCTTTAATCCCAGCACTCGGGAGGCAGAGGCAGGCAGATCTCTGTGAGTTCGAGACCAGCCTGGTCTACAAGAGCTAGTTCCAGGACAGGCTCCAAAGCCACAGAGAAACCCTGTCTCGGAAAAACCAAAAAAAAAAAAAAAACCAAAAAAAAAACAATGGTATTGTAAGCTTCATGGAGTGAAAAAAAAAAAACCCAGGTTGGGGAGATGGCTCAGAGGTTAAGAGCACTGGCTGCTCTTCCAGAGGTCCTGAGTTCAATTCCCAGCAACCACATGGTGGCTCACAACCATCTGTAATGAGATCTGGTGCCCTCTTCCTGACTGTAGGCATCCAAGCAGACAGAATACTGTATACATAATAAATAAATAAATCTTAAAAAAAAAACCCATAAGACTTGGATCCACCTCTCACAGGTCGAATGGACTCCAGATAAATGCCCTGTCAATCAAAAGTCTAAGGTTCCCTGCTTCTTGCCGATTCCAGCGGTGGGGAAACTCCACATCCAAGTTTCCCTTTAATTCATTCACTTTCACTGCTGTCCCTGCGTAGATCTGTCTTGCAGAGTTCCACTAAGCTGGCAGACACCATCCAGAAATCACCTGCGAACTACCAACACCTCCAAATGCGATCTACATCGCCCAGGTAGTCCTATGAAACTGGAACCCTAAACTTCCTGAAAGCTGATGCAAGCCAGTCTAGTCCATGTGGTTGCTCCCTGTCTCTTCAGCTGGGTCAGCAAACCAGAGGCTTCTGATGAATGCCCCATTGCCCACATCCCCTCCTGGTTGTTGGCTGATATTCCAGCATTCCTGGGCCCTGAAAAAGCCATCCTAATTTCAGCCGGAGGTAGTTACAGAGGAGAATACATCACCCCTTGTCCTCAACAAAGGGCTGGAATATTAGGTCTAAGGAAATTTTCTGGTCAAGGGGACAAAATGGCTAGCTCTAAGTATACCAAGATTTTGAGGCCTTAACATTTGTTCTTTTTATGCCAACCAAAAGGTGCAATTTGCAGATGAGCAATGCATCTTTTGATGCATTTTTTGTTTCCCCCCAAATAAAGAATGCTTAGACCCTATCAAGGGTTTGCCAGGGATACATAAGACAACGAGGAAATGAAGAACCAGACTGTTTCCATTTTAGGCTTAAAAGTCATCTAATTGTAAAGACAAACTAGGTTCATGCCTGCTTATGATTAAACCCCTCTTTCTCAAAGATAGAACTATGTTCTGCCTGTAACTTTTTCTTCAGTTTCTCAAGACAGGGTTTCTCTGTGTAACTGCTGTGGCTGTCCTAAAACTCACTCTTGTAGACCGGTTGACCAGGTTGACCAGGTTGACCAGGTTGGCCTTGAATTTACAGAGATTCTCGCGCCTCTGCCTGGATTAAAGTGCCGGGATTAAAGGCGTGAGTCCCCAGGGCCGGGCCACACCTTAACTACAAATGGCTCTGCGTGCCTGTCCCAGGAATGGCGATCATGTCTTTCTTTCATGTTTATAACCATGTTGCACCCCCATCTTATCTACTACTTTCTCTGCTCTGGACTCTTCCAGATGCATCTGGATGTTTTCATCTTCATATCTACAATAAAAGAACCTGCTTGCTGGGCAGTGGTGGCGCATGCCTTTAATCCCAGCACTCAGGAGGTAGAGGCAGGCGGATCTCTGTGAGTTCGAGGCCAGCCTGGTCTATAAGAACTAGTTCCAGGACATCTAGGACTGTTACACAGAGAAACCCTGTCTCGAGAAACCAAAAAAGAAAGAAAGGACAACACCTTCTGCTACCCATAACTTGGAGCAGTTACATCATCAGTCTTGGTGCTGAAGATGGAGTCCAGGACCCTGTACAAGCACCGTGTCCTGAACTGTATTTGGTGGTGGGGCATGAGTGTGCAAACAGCTGCAACCAAGCCAGCGTGTTGCAATGTTGAGACGCTGCGTGTTTGTGAACCGTGGTGCAGAGACGTGGCAGGAATGCAAACATGAATGTTCAGGCCACCAAGTGGTGGCATGGGGACATGAAAGGCATATGAGCAGGCATTCTCTCAACGCCACGTGACAGTGCCAGGACGATGCCTGACTGTAAACGGGTGTGCCCAGGCCACCCCTGGTGACATCGGGTTACAGCAGGCATGAGAAAGTGCAAGCCTAGGTGGCCAACTGGCACCAATGAGATGCCGCTGACATCCAGGCCCAGAAGAGTCCGGAACTCCAGAGCTCAGCCTGTTCATCTTGAACAAGTAAGAAAGAAGGGCCTACAAAGGGTGGTCTCACCTAGGTCCTGCAGGGCTCCTGTTCTCCCTCTTCAGGACTCATTTTTCCAACTGCACACAATGCTGGTGGCTGATAAAACCAGGAATGTGGCTTGTGTGAAGACAGCCCAAGAAATCAGGATAGGAAGCATGTACCTGATCAAGCGGTTCCACTGCACGGAGCCCCACGCCTGACACCTGCTGAACTTCATCACACCCAGCACACAAACTTGAGACCTGTGAGAATCAGCTGGAACAGGCTAGGGGTAATACACACACACCTGGGTGTACCGTATAGCAATTGGTAAGGATGTGCATGTGTCAATTTGCCCACAGTCTACCCTCAAGGAGATGGCCAAGGGCTTGTGGCTTCCCCAGGGCAGGTAGCTGAGCTTTGACTAGAAAAAGCAGCCTTGTGCCTTTCCAAGCCTTTATGTCTAAAGAGACTAACAACCCTAAGACACAGGACAATCGTGGTAAAGACGGCCAGGACTTGGATTTGTGTTCCTACTGCAAGTAGTTACCTTGTGATTTATTGACCTACAATTTCGTACATGTATATAAGACATTTTGATCATCTTCACCCATTTACCCCTCTCATTCCCACAGCTGCCAAATAACCATTTCTCTAAGTCAGAAAATGTGCTTGAAGGGGGGAAGTTAAGGAGCAGGAGCCCTGAAGATAGGGCCAACTGTGACAGCTTGCATAGGTGCGAAGAGCTTGAGACGGGGTCTCATTGCAGTCCAGAGGGGCTTAGACCACGTTGCCCAGACTGGCCTCAAACTCAAGGCCATTCTCTGGCCAAAGCCCTGGAGCATAGAGATTACAAGTACGAGCCACCATTAGAGATTTTAAGTACCAAGTATTTATTGCAAGAATGGCTGGACAGCTTTGAAAAGGGAACAGTACAGGGATGTGACCGGTTAGAGCTGTGCTCCCAACTTCTTGTTTTTGCCTACTTTGAAATGTAAAATTTCAGAAAAAGCGTCAAGACCCTTCTCCCCGCCTGAGCACTCATTGCCCTTCACACCGATCCCAGACTGCCGACACACACCCCTGCAGCCTCAACTCAGTGAACTGTGGAACACCAAACCTAACCAGGGCGTTTTGTTTTGTTTGAGACGAGGTCTCACTCTGTAGCCAAAGCTACCCTGGAGCTGTACAATTTAGGCGAGCCTGGAACTCCTAGCAATCCGGCTGCCTCGGCCCCCACATGCTGGGATTGAAGACGACATCAGC